GGTTTGAGGGTAGAGACCCGTGGGCCGTTTATTAAATGAGCGACAACAGATTATTTTAACAAAAATAAAACAAACCGAAAAGATAAACACAATAATAATAATCTTCGCATAATATCGCGGCACTTTCGCTGGCGTCGACGACGCGATGTCCGGCGTAATCCTTGGGCGACAAAAGGTTAGCAGCGTTGTAGGCGATGGATCGGTTGGTCGACGTTGTCGCTTCCACAACGGGAAGAAGACTACGGTATCATTAGCGGCGGGACGTCGTCGTCCGTGCGGCATTTGCTGGACTTTGCACCGTAGCGTATGACACGCGGTGTTGGTCAGTCAAATACTGATAGTAGGGCGACGGCTGATAAAGGTGGCACGAGTCGCGGGGCATCGTATATAACGAAGTGTCATCTTTTACCATAGAAGTAACGAAATATACATCTACATTATAATTTGTATAACTTCTCCTTAAAATTTACGATACTAAATTATTGAATATCAATTTCATAATAAGATTAATTACTACAATTAAAATTATAAATTAACGATCTTCAACGAATTTATTCATAAATAACAAACAATTTTTTTTTTGAAAACTAAAATATTAATTTTTTACATGTTTATCATAAAAGTAATAACTATTTTATATTTTTTTTTATTTCTCTGTAATAATTATAATACTATATTATCAAAAATCAATATAATGCTACATTGAATTGTTATAAAAAAATGTTTTCATATATAATACTTATAAATCATAAAATTTGTAATCAGGATATAAAGAATGGAATAAGAATTAATTTGACTTTTGGAATGATTCATCAATTTTTTTAAATTAAACAGTATCTACAAATTTGCATGGAAGTATTTCTTATATTAGTAATTTTAATAAGTGTCAGATATCATCTATACTTGTCCCAACTATGGCACATCCACACTGTGCCACGACCACANTAATAATTTTAATAAGTGTCAGATATCATCTATACTTGTCCCAACTATGGCACATCCACACTGTGCCACGACCACATTATGTTACCGTTTTGTAGATAGATAAAATAATTTGTTTATATATAACTATTTTTATACAGTTATTGTATTATTTAAAAAAAGTTGAGTAATTCTAGTGACAATGGACATATTATAACAATTATTCGAAATAATTCGTATGAGAATTATAATTATACTAGTTTGTATACAAATTAATTCACATGAATAATAATGAAATATAGAATAAAATATAATACCAAAAATTATTTTTAATACTTGTAAGATTTAAATTCATTATATTATTAAAAGTAGCAATAAATAGTTTTATGTTGTATAAATATTTCTATATTAGTATGTAATAAGGTATAGTGTAACTGTTAGCACATATTAGAATGTTATTTTTGTACAAAGTCTTTACATTCAAATGATAATTAGATAAATTATATATATATAAGTAGGGACACATAGTCACAAGAAGAGGTTTAAAGTTTTTGACTTGGACTTATACGTGTTTCTGTATTTGCCGGTCAATTATATATACAGTAGAGTCTCGTTAATCCGGACAATTTAATAAAAATATAGAATTTTCACACAGAAATAGCATTTGGTAACTATTTTCACCGTGAAGACAATATAAAGTCCGAAATTTTTTTTTCCATAATAAAGTATATTACATTATCTTTAATTTAAGATATGTATAAAAGTGTCAGAATATCCAAAACACACTCAAAATTTAGGTTGAAAAAGTTGTCATTTTAAATCCCTCCTGTGGGCAATAAAAGGGTCAGATTTATAAAAATAATACAACAAATGAAAGGTAAAAACATCATGTATCTATAAAAAATTATGTTAGTTTGGTTATTTTAAAAATTTATGGCAGTTTTCAGAAAAAAAAATGATAGGTAAAGACATCATGCATCTATAAAAAAAAATTATATTGATCCATACATGCTTTAAAAAGTTATAGCATAATAAAGTTAAAAATATGAAAATATACGATGATTGCGTCGAATATAATTGCATATTTAACGCCGTGGTACTAAGTTCAAACCTCGTCCGTTACGGTTTTTTGCATTTTAGCTTTGATGCGAAGCTGAGAAGGTTTTTGTTTTTGTATCTGTTATCACTTTTTCTCACTGGACCGATTTCTTTCAACGATACGTCAAAAGATCACAAATCGTATCTAATCGAAGACATTACCTTCAAAAATTTTCGACTCTTTTAAACTTTTTTTTTCTAAGAACTGCCATAACTTATTGGAAAATTAATATAATTTTTTTTTTGTAGATACATGATGTCTAACTATGATGTGTTTATTTTTACTTAAAACTGCCATAAATTTGTTAAAAAAACCAAATAAACATAATTTTTTATAGATACATGATGTCTTTACCTTTCATTTGTTGAATTTTTTTTATAAATCTGACCCTTTAATTGCCCACAGGAGGAATTTAAAATGACAACTTTTTCAACCAAAATTTTGAAATTGTTTTGGATATTCTGACACTTTTATACATATCTTATATAATTTTTTTTTTTAATAGATGCATAATGTTTTAACCTATCATTTGGTATATTTTTTTTATAAATCTGACCCTTTACCTGTCCACAGGAGGGATTAAAAATTACAACTTTTTCACAAAAAATGTACTTTTCAACTTAACTTTTGAAAGTGTTCCGGATAGTCTTACACTTTTATATCTTGATTTAAAGCTAATGTAAAATACTTTATTATGAAAAAATAAATTTTCGGACTTTATTTTGTTTTCACGGTGAAAATAGCTACCGAATGCTGTTTTTGTGTGAAGATACTCGATTTTGTATTTTATATTTTTAACTTTATTATGCTATAACTTTTTGAAAAATGTATAGAACAATACAGTTTGTAATTAAATTAAACACTGTCTAAAGATTTGTATAGAAACGTTTTTTATGATAGTGATTTTAATTATTGTTAGATATTATTATACTTAATCCAACTATGCCACGTCACCACTGTGCCGCGACCCCGCTGTGATGGGTTTTTATTCATGACTACCATATTAATTTATTATTTTAGAATATTATCTGATTAAAGAAATTACTGATCGATAATAGCTTTTAAACCAGTATTTCAGAATTCATTACATTTTTAATTATTGACAGGAGTTGAGTTGCGGTTAATGTTATTTTGAACTCTTTGCGCACTTTTTATTCTGCCAAGGTATAAATATGTCAATAACTTACCACATAATAGTTCAAAATTTGTTGTAGACCAGTGTTTTTCTTAATTATATCATTATCTGTTAACCTTTTATTAACTAAGGGCTAAATAATTTAAAAAAATTATAAATGTTTTAAAATTGTTATAAAAATATCTAATTAATGTTTCAGTAAACTATCATTAGCATTTATAACTTTGCAAAAATTTGAATTTTTTTTTTTTTTACGATACTTTTCAATCGTACTTTATTTTCTCAAATGTATCAACACATAAAATGTATAAAAATTAGTAAAAACTGTGGTCATGACTAAAGTATTCTTACGAATAAAAATAATAATGTGTGGAGTTCAAATTAAATATTGATTATAATTTTTATAACTTTATGAATGAAAAATTTTAATGAACTATCTTTCTCTAAATTAGATATATTTATTTAGCAATCTATATTACTAAAAATTATATTTTAAAAATATATATAAAGCAAAAATTAATAAACAATTGTTCTCATATAGCCATTCAATATTCAAGTAACGATGTAAAATGCCAATTTGAAAAAGGTACCACAAGAAAAGCTGCTGAAAATGGAAACTTAGAATATTTAATATATGCTCATGAAAATGGATGTGAATGGGATGATGATACCACTATTGTAGCAGCTGCAAAAGGAAATTTGGAAATTTTAAAATATTTACAAAAAAATAGATGTCCGTGGGATGAAAGAACAATGGAAGCAGCTGCTTCTAAAGGTAAATTAGAATGTTTAATATATGCTAATGAAAATGGATGCCCGTGGGATGAAAGCACAACAGAAGCAGCTGCTTCTAATGGAGAATTAGATTGTTTAAAATATGCTCATGAAAATAAATGTCCATGGGATGAAAGAACAACAGAAGCAGCTGCAATAAATGGTCATTTGGAATGCTTAAAATATGCACATGAAAATGGCTGTGAATGGAATCAATTCAACATTATGTTGTTTGCTATTAAAAAAGGTAATCTAGAAATGTTAAAATATGCCAACGGAAACTTATGCGAATTGAATAACTTTGCAACTATAGCTGTTTTATCAGATAATCTAGAAATTTTAAAATATTTACATAAAAACGAATTTGCATGGGATGAAAGTACAACAGAAGCAGCTGCTTCTAATGGTGAAATAGATTGTTTAAAGTATGCTCATGAAAATGGATGTCGTTGGGATGAAAGGACAACAAAAGCAGCTGCTTCTAAAGGTAAATTAGAATGTTTAATATATGCTAATGAAAATGGATGCCCGTGGGATGAAAGCACAACACAATTGGCAGCATTTCATGGTAAATTAAAATGTTTAAAATATGCTCATGAAAATGGATGTGAATGGGACAAAGATACGACTATTGCAGCTGCTAGGAAGGGTAATTTGGAATGTTTAATATATGCTCATGAAAATGAATGTCCGTGGGATGAAGACACAACAGAAGTGGCTGCTCTTTATGGTAAATTAGAATGTTTAAAATATGCCCACGAAAATGGATGTCCATGGAATGAAAAAACAACACACGGAGCTGCATTTTATGGTGAATTAGAATGTTTAAAATATGCCCATGAAAATAAATGTCCATGGAATGAAAAAACAACACAATCGGCTGCTTGTAGTGGTGAATTTCAATGTTTAAAGTATGCACATGAAAATAAATGTCCATGGGATGAAAGTACAACAATATTTGCAGCTTTTTATGGTAGATTTAAATGTTTAAAATATGCTCATGAAAATGGATGTCCGTGGAATGAAAGGACAACAAAAGCAGCTGCTTATAATGATAATTTAGAATGTTTAAAATATGCTCATGAAAAGGGATGTCCGTGGGATGAAAGCACAACAGAAGCAGCTGCTTTTAATGGTCATTTAGAATGTTTAAAATATGCCCATGAAAATAAATGTCCTTGGAATGAAAGTACAACAGAAGCAGCTGCTGGTAATGGTAATTTAATATGTTTAATGTACGCTCGTGAAAATGGATGTTTTTGGAATAAAACTACGATAAGAGCGGCTGCACAAAACAATAAGTTAGAGTGTTTAAAATATGCTCATGAAAATGGGTGTCCGTGGGATGAATCTACAACTAGAGCTGCTGCAGCGAGTGGCGGTATAGACTGCTTAATATATGCTCACGAAAAAGGATGTAATTGGGATAAACATACGTTAGCTGCAGCAGCTGTGCATGGTAATTTAGATTGTTTAAAATACGCCCGTACTCATGGATGTGATTGGGTTGAAGGTACAATGAGATTGGCTGCAGCGAATGGACATTTAGACTGCATTAAATACGCTTATGAAAATGGTTGTAAGTGGGATGAAGGCACAACAAGAGAAGCTGCTGCTAGTGGTCATATTGACTGTTTGATATATGCACATAGAAATGGATGTAAATGGGATGAAGGGACAATGAGTGGAGCTGCTGCAAATGGTCACTTAGACTGCCTAAAATATAGTCATTTAAATGGGTGTGTGTGGGNTCATTTTAATGGGTGTGTGTGGGACGAAGGGACAACAAGACTTGCTGCTGCAAATGGTCAATTTGACTGCATAAAATTTTCTTATGAAAATGATTGTCCNATTGCATAAAATTTGCCCATAAAAATTATTGTCCATGGAGTAGAGATACTATTTATGAAGCTACTCAAAATGGTTATATAAGTATAATAAACTATGCTACCGAAAATGGGTGCCTTAATTAATTTTCTGTTGAAATATAATTGTTTTTATTTTAAAAATTTTAGTAAGTTATTCTGTCATTATTTTTAAAATAATTTAACTTGAATTTTGATGTATATCTTAGAAGGTATTGCTTTTAATGATAAAATTTAAATATAAAATTGTATTTGTAATAATAATTTGTATTTTTTATTAAATCAAGTGTTCATCCAAGTTATATGATTATTGTTTCTTTTACGTGTATGCATAGTTTGACTAAAAATAATAATTTAAAATACTTTAATATTTACTTTAAGTACTCTGTTTATATTTAAAAATATAGAAGTAGGAATAAATTATGTTAGTAGTTGCTTTTATACAGGGTGTTCAGTAAGTCAGGAAACAGGTTTCTATTGTTCTCATTGTTTGTAAGAATGAGAACAATAGAAACCCGTTTCCTGACTTACTGAACACCCTGTATAAGTGCATATATTCATGTAATTAAAAAATAGTCAATAGCTATTCAGAATTTAACACTGATCAATAAGAATAAAAATGAAGGTGAGTAATAAACATTATTTGAGGTGATCAATTGAAACCCTAAAAATTATAATATTATATTCTAGTTTTGGATATTGATATCATTTTTGTTGATTTTATCCTGTGTGGTTTTTAATGAAGGTAAATTCTATTTTACATTATTTATATGAGTTTTTTTTTATAACTTAGTCTATACAATTTTGATTTTTTATAGTTTCAATATTTAAAGGTAAAATTTACGAAGTTCTTCTATAGTTTTAAACTATGAAAGATTTAAAACTAATGTAGTATAATTTTCAACACATGTATTAAATATCACATATATATGAATAAAGCAAAAAATCATCTAAGGAATGTTTCCCTTTTAGGGTAATAAAAATAACTATTTATTACACTAAAACAGTGACAATAAGGACTTATTAGCATGGATTTGTATAAATACAGGAGAATAATAAAGGAATACTTGGTCATTGGACTACAGTTAAATGTATATTAATGAAACAATCAAAATTAAACAAACTTCAGTAAATATATTCAATTTAAGTAATAATTTGCTTTTTTAGAAAAATTATGACAATGATAGCTGTATAACAAGATAAATTACCATTAAAAATAGCAACTTTGCACAAAGGTTTAATTTTTAAAAACTAAAAAAGAAATTTGTTCTGACGACATGTGTTCTGTATGTAAACGGTTCCCAAAATTAGATATAAAATACGCCCGTACTCATGGATGTGATTGGGTTGAAGGTACAATGAGATTGGCTGCAGCGAATGAACATTTAGACTACATTAAATACGCTTATGAAAATGGTTGTAAGTGGGATGAAGGCACAACAAGAGAAGCTGCTGCTAGTGGTCATATTGACTGTTTGATATATGCACATAGAAATGGATGTAAATGGGATGAAGGGACAATGAGTGGAGATGCTGCAAATGGTCACTTAGACTGCCTAAAATATAGTCATTTAAATGGGTGTGTTTGGGACGAAGGGACAACNTCATTTTAATGGGTGTGTGTGGGACGAAGGGACAACAAGACTTGCTGCTGCAAATGGTCAATTTGACTGCATAAAATTTTCTTATGAAAATGATTGTCCATGGAGTAGAGATACTATTTATGAAGCTATTCAAAAAGGTTATACAAGTATAATCAACTATGCTACCGAAAATGGGTGCCTTAATTAATTTTTTGTTGAAATATAATTATTTTTATTTTATTTATTTATGTTGTCTATTATGATATTGTTTAAAAAATTAATTTACTTATTTTTGATATTTAACCAAGATGATGGTATTGATATTAGTAACGGCATTTTTGAAATTTTCATTTCTCAAGAAATACTATTTTTGGAACTATTACCAAAATTTAATATATTACATTAGCATTTATTCTTTTCTTTTTAGTTTTCCATCATATTACAAAAGACTAGCTGAATCATTTTTGAGTATTTTTTCTTGAATGCAATTTTGTTATGAATATAATTCAACTAACATTTACAATTTAATTAACACTAATGAATACTAAATATTTATATCGTCTTTAAAATATAAATCCTTACATACATACATACATACATACATACATACATACATACATACAAGTGAAACTAATAAAAGCGTGTTAAAAAAAAAAACACATCATAGTAAAATTAATACCTTCTCTGCTTCGCATCGAAGCTAAAATATATTAAAACATAATATTTTGACAATTTTCATGGTACGTAATCATATTCCCCATCAAGTTCTACATTTTCAGCTTCCATATTTTGTTCATCAGCAGTTGGCCTTTCATAATATATAAATTGCTATATTATTATTTGTTGTTAATTTTAATAGTTTAAATGTGCTTTTTGATAACCCATCGATAAAATTATGTGTGAATACAATACCTATATATTTTGCATTATATTGGAAACTCATGTATGTAGATGGGGTAAAGGATTGTTTTTGGTCCTTTGGAACTTTTTTTCTAAATGTCTCAACAGATAAACATATCTTTTTGTGATATGATGGCCATCATTTTTTAAAGTCGTAAACTTGATCCATCTGAAACTTTATTACATTGAACTTTTCACTGCATTCATTCTCTATTTTAATATATTCATATGGCACATATATACGATCATGTTTTTTTATTTTTTTTTTGCTTCGATAGGAAGCTGAGAAGGTATTGGTTTTACTATGATATGTTTTTTTTTTTTTTTTTTTTTTTTT